GAAAAGATTTAGGATTAAGGAATGATTGAAATACTGAGGGAAATTAGGCTTAATAAGAACATTGAAAAAAGGATATATAGTGATTCAATCATTTTTTATGAATAGAAGTGAAATATAAATTGATTAGAAAAGATGTTATAGGTAGATGTTGTGATAGATAAGTAGTATAGTATTTCTATAATATATGAAATATGAAAATACTGGGATGATATATTTAAGTGGAAAATTTGGATATTTAGATGTTAATTATTGAGAAAATTATGATTGATAAGAATTGTTTAAATATTATGGAGAAATTGAGCTTAAACAAGATTTATGAAAATAAGATATATGGTGAATCAATAAGATGACTTTTATGAAAATAAAAAAAGCTGATAAGAAAAAAATGCTATATATGGACACTATTACTGTTGGTATAAATATAGAAGACAATGTTTTTATTTAATCATTTATATCAAATATCAAAAATTATATTTGTTTAATGCTGAAGAAAGAGAATACTATTGGGAGAAGAGAGGCTCAAGGAAATATATTATCAATTGATATACTAATTATGGAAATATAAAAATTAATTATTATTGACTGTTAATTAACTATTATTGATTGTATATTTTTTTTTAAAAAAATTCATGAACCAAGACAACATGCTGTACACCAGGCACTAAGGTTGTTATTGTAAAGAAATCAATAAAACTCTTACCAAAAAAAAAAAAGAAATAAATTTTGAGCTCAGTTGTGGTCGTAAGGTTGAGGACTACCTGTAGATGGCTAAATCTGACTTTGCAGGTCTGTACAGCTACTGTATACTTTCCGGTACTTTTCTGCACACCAGTTAGGATGCTTGCACTGGAGCCAAAACCTGGGATCATCTTAGTCAAGTCAGGACATATGGCAAACATAAACAGCAATTCCTGATTTCAGGTTTACCATCCAAGAGAAATTAAGTAGAAACAAAAAGCTTCAGATCTAAAAATTAATATTCTTCACATCTCCAGTAATGCTTAAATAGGTTAAACAGCATGATTCTGAACAGCATCAGCCATTCTGATGGCTAAGATCTAAGGGATCTGGCCTTATGAGAAGCTATGGCATATTTTGCTTCAGTTCTCCGCTGCTCAGTAACTTAATGGTATCACTGCCAGTCAGATTACGCTAATCAGTTGAAGTAAGAAGAATAGTTCAGATGAGCTTCTGAAAAGGATGGACATTTAGAAGCATTTGATCCAGAGTCTGATCTTGCTGTACTGCATTGCTAAGCAAAATATATGGCCTCGTGATGGGGAGAATAGGGGGCAGAAGGAGTGAAAGTGGGGAAGAGATTGATGAAAATGGAATTTAATCTATGGGAAGTTGATAACATTAGTATTTAGTTCACTAAAAGCAGTTTGAGCCAACATTGATGGCAGTAAAATCCCTACATACCGGTTTTGATATTTGTTTCAGAAGCAATGACCCAGATATTGCACGCTGTATAATGCAGCAAATCTACAGAATGGGAGCTAGGTTAAATCCAACAGATTTATTTTACCAGTTTGGACAAAAATCAATGGCCATCTCATACACCATTTTTTAAAGACCACCTTAACACTGAAAACCCCTCCCAACTTTTTCTCAATGCATCTTATATTAATTAATAAGTTATCTTCCTCTATTGAAGTCAGTTGCCAAATAAATAGAAACATGAAAGGAAGCTGATCATATTTGGGATTATATATTTTTAACTGGCTAGTTTTGCTGATATGAATAAATGTATCAATTCATACTATCATTACAAATACAGCAGTGGTCTTCCCCATTTGCACCAACCGGGCCTTTTTCACCCACTCTCTACTTGTGACCTGCTTGTACATCTACAGTTAATAATTACATGCAAGTTTATTCCTGTTACTGGAGGTTTAAAGCAAAAAAGACACCTAAAGCTCCGTCCACCCTTTGCTCCATTGTCCAGGCTCTTACCGTAAGAAAGCTGTAGTATCAGAAGGTTTGCTAGCACTCTGATCAGCACCATAGCTTCAACTCTGCATGGAAAGCTGTTTGCCTGGAATTTAGAAATGGGGAACAATTTTGGCAAGAATGCACAATATTCAAAATATTTGATTAATCACTTTGTTCTCTTCCACTCCAAGGCAGAAGGACAGATGTGGAAAAAACACCAATTTCTCACCTGTAAGATCCCAGTCCCAAACTTAAACTTGAGATACTGTATCAGTCTAATCAGATAACCCAAGTGGAGACTTCTTGATCAAGCAGCACTTTACTTGGTCAAATTAAGCAGGTGGGTGGCCAACAATTGGGAACACTGGCAGAGTCACGTCCAGAAGTGCCACGTCTTAGAAAGTTGGTAGCATTGCTTTATAAACTTTATTAGCCAATTAAAATCAGACAACAGAGCCATTCCATTATAAGAAAGACACTCCCTGATTCCCTCCATCCATGTACATGTATATCCAATCCATGTACATGTTTCCCAAGCTTGCATGAAATTTCTCTGGTGCAAAAGCTGATTCCAAAAAGCAAGAAAGCAACAGTTAGACTAAACAATTTCCCTTTGTTCCAGAACCCTTCACATCCTTATGTAACTTGGCTCTATATTATGCAGCCTGAACAGTGGTGGGATTCAAATATGTGAACAACCGGTTCTCTATGTGGATGCCGCTTCCAGAAGTCCGTTCTGGGCCTGGGCAACAAAAAAATAGCTACCGGTTCTGCCAAAGTGGTACGAACTGGCTGGATCTCACCACTGTATTTGGAAGTGTTGGAGGCCAAAATGGTGGATACAGGGAGGTTTTTTTTCTATTGTGGAGACCCAGGTGTTGGACAATACACAGTCTTGTAGATTCTTCAGGCTTATACACAGTTCTCTTTTAAGGGCTCTTCTGGATCTTAGATTAGATGCATTTTGAATTTTTTTTTCCTGGTAGATTTCCATCGCTGTGAGAAAGCTATGAATGTCAAAGGCTCTGATCCCTATGTCTGTCAGTGGTATAAAAAAGTATACTCATCCCTGTGCCCTTCTTTTTGGGTAAGTAAATTACGTAAGTCTGGCTAAATCATTTTTGTACAAGAAACCAGTTGGGGGCAAAGGAAGACAGTAAAAGATCTCTCCCTCTTATCATAGGCAGCCAGTGAACACATAAAGATCTGATCTTGAAGAGATATCACATGGGCTCACACATTGTGTTAGATTATTGTGTCTTTCTTTGCAGGCTAGCTGTTGAGCAGGCTAAGCCAACAACTCTGTTTTATGAAGAGGAGACTCATGGTTTAAACAGTTGAGTGAAAATATCACTCAAAACTCAAGTGTGCCTGGCTGAAGAATTCTGGGAGTTCAAATCCACAAGTCATAAAACGGCCAAGTTTGAAGACCCCAGCTATATATCTTTCTACTGGAAAAAAGTGTTTGGGTGCTATGTCTGGTGTTGTGTATTTTTTATATACTCTTAAAGGCAGTATCCACTAGGGAATCAGAGGCATGTGTGTTGTGATGGCACATACAAATGAAATACATGCATGGTGCTGTAAGGTCCCAGTCCCTTACTTAAACTTGAGATACCATATTAATTTAATTAAATAACCCAAGAGGAGACTTCTTGATTAAGCAGCACTTTATTTGATCAAATTAAGCAGCTGGATAGCCAACAATCTGGAACCATGGCAGAGTCACGTCCAGAAGTGTCACGTCTTAGAAAGTTGGTAGCATTGCTTTGTAAACTTTGTTAGCCAATGAAAATCAGACAACAGAGCCATTCCATCATAAGAAAGACATCAATCATTCCTGTAAACTCCCTTATTCCCTCCTTCAGTATATCCCATCCATGTACACGTTTCCTACGTTTGCATGAAATTTCTCTGGTGCAAAAGCTGATTACAACAAGCAAGAAACCAACAGTTAGACTACACAATTTCCCTTTGTTCCAGAACCCTTCACATCCTTATGTAACTTGGCTCTATATCATGCAGCCTGAACAGTGGTGGGATTCAAATATGTGAACAACCAGTTCTCTCTGTGGATGCCGCTTAGTACTCAGAAAGTTCAGCATATAGTATGAATCTATCTCTTTCTTGACTTGGATGTGTATTGTGTGAATGTTGCACTTATAAATTATAGATGACTGTGTTAAAGATAGAACCCATGTGTTTACGGTACTAATGTTATGACTTTGTATTGCGCACATCCTCTCTCAACCCAGCCTATCTCAAAGGATGGTGGGTAGATAAAGACAAATACAAAATCTGGATGGTGCCCACTCTGTTCTTGTTTAGAAGAGGCATTAAGGTGTAGTGCCTCACCCAGGCCTTTGATAAGGGAGAGAGAAGCCTCTCACTTCATCATCTTTTCTCTTTTATGTTTTAATGATTTTTTTAAAAAAATATTTTCTTATGGCAAACCCCAGAGTCAGGCAGCATATGGTTAATATTTTCTGGTTAGTTGCACAGTCAGTCAGATATTTAGACTGGACTTGGCATTTTTATCCACCTATCACGTCCTTCCCAAGGACCTGGGGTAGGTAAATGTTGTGGTTCCATGGTTTTAAAGGGATTGTCACAAGATGTTGCAATTAAGGCTGCCTTTTGCAATTGACTGTGGTGATTTTGTCAATACTGATGGTGTTCAGGTAATATTCCAGATTTTGTTATTATTGTTATTATTATATCCCAGAAAAAAGGAAAGATATGAATACTGTGGTTAAGAAGATGGAAATTCAACCATAAATATAAACAGCATTCCTCAAGATATGATTGTGAGGAGCAATAGCAGTAGCAGCAGAACACTCATTCAAAATGCACAGAGAAGTCACTAAAAACTAGCAGAAACATTATAAAAAAATCTGGATATCTAAACACGATCTCCCTCAACCCTTCCACATTCTGTAATGCCCTCACCCGTTGCAGTGTGCAGCAGTGAGCATCCATTCCTGGTTGATCAAAGTCCCAGCGCATTGAACCCCATCAAAGTACACGAGTACAAGGAAACAATGTTCATTTATGTTACATTCATCACCTCCAATGACCAGTTCAGAAGACTTTTGTGCTGCAAAGAAACAAAAAAAGTTCAGTGTTTGGCTGTGGAGTAGAACAGAATCGCTTTTATTGGTATTGTTTCTATCAGTACACTAATTTTGGAGGGTAACAAATGACCTTGGGACACACAGCATCAAACCAGTTGAATAAAATGGATTATTTTTAAATCATATATATGTCTATGCGCATGTAGGTAAACTACCTGTGAATCTTAAGTAATTAATGTGTGTGTGTGTGTGTGTGTCCACACATACACACATTTTGAGAAAGGGCATCAGAATTTCATTTTCAACATGTGCCAGTGTGCTCACAGACAATGACAATATCTTAAGATAAGAACTCAGTTTGAGATCTTGTTTAACGTAACAACATAGGAAAATTTAATTCCCACTCCTTCAAACATGGTTCTAGGAAAGCAAAAATTCATTAAATATTACACAGCTAGCTCACCACACTCTGAAATAAGATATGACCAGGGTCTTCTTAACACTTAACACTTTAGTGAAGCAGGCTTTGTTTTGTTAATGGTGATAAGATTTGGGCGTAGAAAGATTTCCAAAACAGGAGAATTGACTTATTCAATAGGGAAGTGAAACAGACACTTTTATCACCCCCTGAATTCTCACTCCAGGATCCTAGTTATTTAAAGCAGGGTCTTGCTGCTGGAAGTATAGAAGCTCCTTAGAGCATCTTATAAGCCACAGTAACAATGAGCTGATTGTACTTTCAACCAATTAAACCAGTGTTTCTCAACCTTGGCAACTTCAAGATGTATGGATTTTAATTCCCACAAGTCCCGAGCCAGCATGGCGAATTCTGGGAATTGAACTCCATACATCTTCAAGCTGCAAGACAAAGGCCATAATCCGAAAGCTTTTAGAAGCAAAGCTGGAGACAGATGTTTAGTACTTTCCACTCAGCCTCCCTGCCTAGTAAGGAACACCTGTTTGAATATGGCTAAATAAATAACTTTGGCTATAAAGAGGCTTTATAGTGGGATAAGAGATATAAGTAATATATTATTTTTTGATAAGATACAAAATGTAAAAATATTGGGATGATGAAAGTGAAAGAAAAGTTTGAACTTTAAAGACAAATTAAGTTTGAAAAGATTTTGGATTAAGGAATGATTGAAATACTTAGGGGAAATTAGGCTTTATAAGAACTTTGAAAAAAGGATATATAGTGATTCAATCAATTTTTATAAATAGAAGTGAAATATAAATTGATTAGAAAATATGTTATAGGTAGATGTTATGATAGATAAGTAGTATAGTATTTCTATAATATATGAAATATGAAAATACTGGGATGATATATTTAAGTGGAAAATTTGGATATTTAGATGTTAATTATTGAGAAAATTATGATTGATAAGATTTTTTTAATATTATGAAATTGAGCTTAAACAAGATTTATGAAAATAAGGCATATGGTGAATCAATAAGACGACTTTTATGAAAACAACAGAAGCTGATAAGAAAAAAATGCTATATATGGACGCTATTATTGTTGGTATAAATATAGAATACAATGTTTTTATTTAGTCATTTATATATGGAAAATATCAAATATCAAAAATTGTATTTGCTTAATGCTGAAGAAGGAGAATACTATTGGGAGAAGAGAGGCTCAAGGAAATATATTATCAATTGATATACTAATTATGGAAATATAAAAATTAATTATTATTAACTGTTAATTAACTATTATTGATTGTATATATTTTTTTAAAAAAAATCATGAACCAAGACAACACGCTGTACACCAGGCACTAAGGTTGTTATTGTAAAAAATCAATAAAACTCTTACCCCCCCAAAAAAAGAAATCAATTTTGAGCTAAATTGTGATCGTAAGGTTGAGGACTACCTGTAGATGGCTAAATCTGACTTTGCAGGTCTGTACAGCTATACTTTCCAGAATTTTTTTGCAGACCAGTTAGGATGCTTGCACTGGAGCTAAAAACTGGGATCATCTTAGTCAAATCAGGACATATGGCAAACATAAACAGCAATTCCTGATTTCAGGTTTACCATCCAAGAGAAATTAAGTAGAAACAAAAAGGAATATTTGATTTTCAAGCCTCAGATCTAAATATTAATATTCTTCACATCTCCAGTAATGCTGCAAATAGGTTAAACAGCATGATTCTGAATAGCATCAGCCATTCTGATGGCTGAGATCTCAGGCATCTGGCGTTATGAGAAGCTATGGCATATTTTGCTTCACTTCTCCACTGCTCAGTAACTTAATGGTATCACTGCCAGTCAGATTACGCTAATCAGTTGAAGTAAGAAGAATAGTTCAGATGAGCTTCTGAAAAGGATGGACACTCTCTACTTTTGACCTGCTTGTACATCTACAGTTAATAATTACATGCAGATATCAGAACCCATATTTCTCTGATTTCATACTTCCCTTGCTCTCTTCCTCTCCCAAATTCCATTCTCTTCTCTCCCTGGGTTTTTCCATAATCCTAGAGGAGAGGGGGGAAGGATCAGGGGTTTATTGCCTTAGCTTTCTCTATCGCTACAATGTAACACTTCGCTTTCCTGCACTATTTATCTCTGCACTCTTCTCCCTAAACTGTCAGCTAGCAAAGTGGGAGGAAGAAAGAATTACAACCTCCGGAACCTGGCTTATCTCTCCGTTCTCAAAAGAAGGTGCGAAGAGTCATCTAAACATCGCCACCATGACCAGAGCTGACCCGATGTTATCTCACCTTTCCCTCGATGGACTTAAAGCCTGGAGATTGGCCGGTTTGAACTGTCCGGATGAACTATGGGGTGGGGTTTGTTTGGGGACACTTTAACCTATCGATCTGTATTGGAGCCACTCAGATCCTGTCTAGTATGCCTACTATCAGCTTCTCCTAATAAAAGTTTCTTTTGGAAGAGCTTGCTTCCATGAGTTCTGCTTTCTTGGGAGGAAGTATTGAAATGGGTCCTGACATTAGACAGGATCTGCAATAGTGGTCAACTCAGAAGGACGGACCTTGCCAGGGGCCTTTGCAAAATCTACCATGGTGGGACACTGGAAGAAGCCACCACAAAGGGGGAGCCCTCCCTCCGGTCGGAATCCTGCAGCCATCTGGCTCCGAGACGTCCTACACCTCAGAGGAAGAAGTGGTGGAGATGCAGAGCCCCAAACCTCGCTGGTCCATGGGCGTAGGCAAGAAGGATGAGTCAGAGAGAAAATCAAGAAAGGTGATTCTGAGGCGAGGCAGCCACCAACAGGGATGGAAGCAAGAGATGGAGAGATCACTGCACCTCAGTGAAGATGAGGGTGATCACGGGGAGCAGTCGAACTAGATCCTGGAGAAAGCAATCCACCTGATGAAATCCCTCAAAGATGAGAAGCCCGAAGCCCGTGGCCGTGCCGTTACCTTGGATCACAGCAAAAAAGACACTGAGGGGCAATCCGAAGTCGAAGCCCCAGGAAGGTCAGGTGGAGCAGCTGAGACCGCATCCGTCACGACGGGAGCTCCCACTCCCTGCCACATGGTGGCTGCTGATCAGGATGGACAACACTACAGACGACGATGTGGGAATCAACCCATCCAGAAGTTCCCACCGCTGGATGTGAAGTTTCGGGGAGAGCAACAGCGCCTGGGGTTCTTCTTGACCCAAGTCCTCAACTACATGGAAGAATACGGCCGAGACATCCCAACCGACAAGGCTCAGATCCGCATCATATAGGTGGCCCTAGATGGCGTGACAGCTGACTGGGTGGTGGACCTACACGACTCTGATACCCCCGAGCTCCAGAACTTCAACCAATTCATGTTCTGCCTTAGACAATGATTCAAGGACCCGTTGGCAGACCGGAAGGCCCATGAGAAGATTAAGACGGTAAAGCAAGGCAGATGCCCAGTGGCCGAGTACACCCAGGAGTTCCGAGCCATTGCCAGCAAGCTAAATTGGCTGGAAAACATCCTACTTAGCCATTTTAAGGATGGGCTGAAATACGACCTCTATGATGCCTGCCTTCCACGGGGAGACCCATGCTGATTGCACGATTGGTACATCCTGGCAGAAGAAGCTGAGATTGACCTGCTCAAGAAACATCGCTGAGGGAAGCTGTGGAACCGATCACCCCCTGAGCCATCATGTGAGCCTGCAAAGTCTCAACCCACAGCCAAGAAGACCACCGAATGCTTCAATGTGGGAAAGAGAGACATCACGCCACAGAATGTCGCTCAAGGAATCCCCCCCCAGAGGGCTAACCGGACACCAGCCGGGAAGTTGGGAAAGTTGCCCATCAAGCTGCAAGAACCAACCACGAGGGGCACCAAGGACATCGGGAGTGTCCAACTTGTCAGACGACAACTGCGATGATGAACCCCTGGTAGGTGGACCCATCGTGCCCCTCATCCGGACAGTGACTATCCTAGCCCCCTCCATGCTTGAAGCCGTAAAAGATAAAGCCCTACTAGACTGGCTGCCACTCTAGCCACACTACCGATCCACCTTACCCTGGGGGACCATGAGGAGACTATAATGTTTGTGGTGACCCCAGGCATGGAGTGCCTAATAATACTGGGGTTGGTGTGGCTAAAGAAATGGAACCCCCAAGTGGACTGGAGGACAGCAGAACTCAGATTCCCAAAAGGATCGCCACCCTAGGGAGTTCCCAAGTGCTCCCCTCCAGAAAGAGCAGCAGTGGGGGAGGGAAAAGCATTGCCTGAAATACCCTAGGAGTACCAGGACCTCTCCGAAGTCTTCAGCGAGGAACGGGTGGACGAGCTACCCCTTCCCCCAACCCACAGACTGTGCAATAGAAATCAAGCCAGGAACAAAGCTCCTGACGAGTGGAAGACCGCATTCAACTGCCCTATGGGATGCTACCAATTTAAGGTCTTGACATTTGGGCTGCAGGGAGCTCCAGCAGTCTTCATGCAGTGGATCAATGAGGTACTGAGGGAGCACCTATACAAAGGGGTCCTCGTCTACCTGGATGACATCCTTATATTTATAGAGACTAAAGACGAGCACATAAAATTTGTCAAA